TTCACTTTTTCATACGGGACGCAACTGGCACTATCCCGCACATGCATATAAATTTATGACCATGCCTTACCATCTCGTCCCCAGGGTCTATATCCTTCATTTCAACGTGCCTTGAACGAGACGGTGATAGCTACTGGATGCGCTTGCGAAGTTTGCGTTTCCTTAAAAATTGAAGGTAAAAACAAAATTAAATAGAAGTAAAAGCTGTCATGGTAACAAGAAAGCTCGTATGGCTTTAAAGGCACCTGAATAGGTTTGTATATGTACGAAAAATTCAATATTCCATATAAAAAGAGCCAGCTATATAGTATAATGGTGTCCAGCCCCTGCCTTCCTCCCCAGCAGCGGATTAACACACAGGCCTGGGCTATATAGGCGTACACCTTCCCCCCCCCCCCCCATCTCCCTATACCCTATACCCCAGTGGCACCCACGCCAACCTCGTCCCCAGTGCTTACTTTATTTCCAACCGCGTTTCCAATAGTAAACCCTGGATAGGAAACTTTCTTCCTGTATCCTGATTGGATACCGCAATTGGCTAGTAATGGATTTTTATCGTGTACTTGGTGCTATATATTCACAACGTGCAGTACGTGTTTTCGCGATCATTCGTCCACGCCTTCTCGAAAATACTAATTTCCTTTCCAATTTGCTCATATTAATATGAAATATGATACTGCATGTTGTCTCGATAAGATCGTAACAGTTTGATTTCAAAAATCGTGTTTTCGTAACTCACGCTGTGCTCGCGCTGCTACGAATTGACTCTGTTTTTACCCCAGACACCGCATACAAAAACAAACGCTAATGTGTATAACGCATATCCAGGCACCAGACTGTTCCTCATTTGCATACGTGTGCACAAATCTTGCACATGCAAATTATCCAATACCAGGGTGAGAGAGCAGGTAGTGGTGGGCGCGTACTGCTGGACACCCTGGGGACGAGGTTGCACCCACGCCTCCTCTGTCAGTCACATCGTGCTATACTATGGCCTAGGCTTGCCTCGGGCAAAGACCTCCCACATTGTTGGGGCCTTAACAAAAAAAATCAAAAGAAACATTTTGTACTTCGGTGTAAGGAAACATTTGCTACAGGAATTGAAGCTCCTGTATCTTCAAGTATACGCTTGTACGTCGGGGAGAATTAGAATGTTTTACTTCATTTTTTTCACAAAATAATATGGTGTTCTATATACGACAGATTGCGTCGCCGTCGCTGTCGCCATCGCCATCACCCTCGCCTCTTTAGAAGGTGACGCGATCTAGCTGTCGTATATAGAACACCATAAGATATAGTGTTATTGAAGTACCACGATAAGTTCCATTATTCAACCGCATGATTTTGAGGCTGACCTCTCACATTTATTTGAATCATTGGGTCAGGGGGCTCCCTACATAGAAGGTCCCGCAGGAAGGTGACTATACAAAATGTGACTCTACTAAAACGGAGCTCATTGCACTCATTGGTTCTAACTTCTAGATGGACCCGTCTGTCGAATATGTCTATGTTAGTGGATTACTTCTAGTCTGTGGATTAATCTGCCAAGAAGGTTACGTTTTCATCAGATTTGGTTTGTTTATTTGTTGGTTGGTTTGTCTTTTGACAACATAACTCGAAAAGTTATGGACGGATTTGCATGAAAAAAACGTAGGGGTGGTCCTTGGTACAAGTACAAATCGATTAGATTTTGGAAGTGATCCGGATCTTCGGCTGGATGCAGGATTTTTTTTAAAGGATTCTTCACCATTTATGCCAGTATTTCTTTTGGGTGTACTGACATTATGGCTGGGATTATTGTTTAGCATTGGTGGAGGTTTGCACTCTGTGATTGCTTTGTAGTTTCAAGTGATTTAACACACCTCCAAACTAGCCTCTGATTTGATGCATACAAGTGTTTAAATTGATATAGACGATGTCGTTTCGTAATGTACCATGATCTTGGCGACTCGATGTTTAATCAAGGCAACACCCAGGAAAACAGAGGATATCAAGAAACGAAAAAGTTATGTGGTGTTGACCAGCATTCAGGAGTCGGAGTTAGGAAATCAACGAGCCCATTACCGACTTCCAATCTATAGAAATCTTCCACGAGGTCTCGGGTTTCTCGGCCCACCACACGTCCTTCCCGTCCATCCATATCACCCAAGGGCCATTTACCCTAAGCCTTCGCTGCCGAGATCGGCCAAACGAGCCCCGTACCTTTACGAAGATGCTAACCTCGACTTGCGGAAGGTCCATGTGCTAATGCAAAGTTCGTGTTGGTATATAGACAGTTAACCCCTGAAACTTACTGCTGCCCACGTGCGTTGAAAATAATAAGGAAACCACTGGGATTTAAGTGCACATCGTTGAGCAGTCCCATTCTCCATCTTTTGCCAAAATTCCTGAAACAACTTTTTTTTTCAAATATCGGCACATGGATTCGGACCTTAAATTTTCTTGACACACCAAATCGTACTTAAATTAGGGGGTTCGTCAATATCGAGGTTCGAGCGACACTACGTGTGAAAAGTACTGGTAAAAGTCCATACGTTGCATTGGGCCTCTCATTGGGGCCAGGGCCTGCAAGTAATCTGGTCTTATCTCCCCCGCGCTTTTTAATTTCGCCCCAAACGCTGTCTACGGAGGCTGAAAGTGACCATCCGAGTTTCCGCGTTTCCTTGATCTCGGAAAGATGAAGTACTTAGAAATTTAGGAAAAATTTCCTTAACACTCGTATCTCGGGTATAGTCGTCACCTTATACCGTACGAGTTTCAGGGAATGACGTCTTTTCATGATAAGGGATCTAAGAAAGACTTCATAAAATATTTTTAAAAACAATTTGCGGATGGTCAGTTTAAGCTTCCGTAGTCTACCGACTAAATCGTTGCCGATAACATAAAATACTCGAAAATGGACAATATTCCAATTAATGCAGGTGCAATATATCTCACTGTATTCGTAGTCTTCTGACGTGTGTCGTGTAATATTATCTGCGGCGTGATCTGCAGGAACATCATATTACCCGATAACAATTATAACGTCTGTTTGAAATGTATAATTTGTGGAGTTCGTAAACCCCTCAATGTAGGCCTAATGACTTTCATTCAATGTGTCTGTTGATTGTTTTCACATGGGCAGATTTCCTTACCAAGGGAAGTTGTAACCCCCACTCACAGTAGTTTTTACACCCTCCGCGTGCGTATCAGTTTTATAACCAGAAATTTTTATGGTGTGTGAAATTGGTGCAAGTTTATGAAAACAATTTCACGAACATAGAAGTTGTGAGTATTTTTAATGAGTTTTGGTAGTACGCGTAATTACCATTGGGGTCTGTGGGAGTCGATTTGCAGGTCCGCACCCATATAAAAAAAAACACCTTACGGGACACTTGTACGGGACACTTGTGTGGATAGAGGAAATTAGGCTCGTTCGGTTGGCATAACATATTTTTCTGAAGGGGTAATATGCTGCGTTACTATAGACTGAGCGCATTGTTCCTATATTTGAGTGGTCCCAAACGAAACAGTTGAGTTTTAAATTAACCAGCTTTTTATTGCTCATATATGAAGCCCGGGAAGGGACAGGGTGGATTTTTTTTTGGAGTTTGCTAATTCGTTCGCACGAATTACTAATTCGTTCGCACGAATTACTATTTCGTTCGCACGAGTTACTAATTCGTTCGCACGAATTAGTAATTCGTTCGCACGAATTAGTAATTCGTGGGAACGAATTACTAATTCGTGGGAACGAATTAGTAATTCGTTCGCACGAATTACTAGGCCTAATTCGTTCCCACGAATTACTAATTCGTGCGCACGAATTACTAATTCGTTCCCACGAATTGCTAATTCGTTCGCACGAATTAGTAATTCGAGCGAACGAATTAGGAATTCGTGCGAACGAAATAGCAATTCGTGCGAACGAATTAGCAATTCGTGCGAACGAATTAGTAATTCGTGCGAACGAATTAGCAAATGCCAAAAAAAAATTCCACCCTGTCCCTTCCCGGGCTTCATACTCTTAATAAAAAATAGTCATGATTTTTTTTCCGCGGACCATCAAACACTGTCCTGGTTCTCACCGCTAATCGACCATACCAGTACGGTCCGCTGTGACACGGGCGAAATACAGTTCCAATCCGGCTTTGCACAACGCGGCAACACGGAACATGACTTGTGTACGCGTTACCGCGGCGCTCATAATGTTAATATATCGGGGTTTGTCTCTGTGAAAAGCGCGATAAAACTGTTCGTGTGTTTTTTCATATCAATTAATGCGACTTTCTTAATTAATTTCTTGGATAATAGGAGTCAATATTCCTCTTTATGTCTGGACACTTGTTTTATTTTTGGAGCCATGTTGATACTTATTTTCACTGTTTGAAATTGACTGATTTAACGTGGTTGCAAATACATGGTTCAAACAGTTGGACTCCCTACCGTATTCCTAGCACTCTGGCTTGCCTCTTGCGGCATTGTCAGAGCAAAAACAAAAACATACTCTCCACCACGGGATTCGTTGCTTAATCTACGGATATGACAACAAATTTGCCACCAGACCCTCCGTGCTGGGACTGGGAGTAGTCAGGAACGACAGACGATTTTGTCACACACAAAAAAAGACGGGGAAGGGTGAAACCCCACATCCCTCTTCTAGCGATGCCCGTGTGTTGAGCGCTGGTTCTGTGTTATGATTTAGTGGTTCGTTAGCCTGCTTAGACTCTTACTGCCGCGACTGAGAGAAGGGGTATCGCTACCCCGTGCCGGACGCGAAGTCGCACCAGAGAAAAGCACAAGCCTCGCACGATGGTGTCCAAGCCTACTATACCGCGTCCCAACTTGTTTTATTTCAAGACAACTCGGGTGACAGAAACAAATTCGGACGTCCTTGCACGAAGGTCTGTCGGCAAATTTGCTGCCAACTACCACCTTTGAATCGGTTTTGCTTCGTCCCTGTGTATATATTGCCATGGGTTGTAAGCTCTCGCAAAACCCAAAACCTTGAAAACTTAATGTGAACGGACACCTGGATTCGAACCAGGGACCTTTCGATCTGCGGTCGAACGCTCTACCGCCGAGCTATGTCCCCCATGCTACACCCAGTTTACATAACAAACATTAATACTCAACAGAACTGATGCCTCACTAAGTCCTGAATTTGGCGATAGTTGACAGCATTGGTACTACATTGTATTTAGAAGGATTAGGCAGGACGCTATTTGGTATGAGTATAATAAATTATGCATTATATAATAAATAATGCATTATATAATAAATAATTAAAGTGTGCAAAAATTATATATAAATAATAAGTTACCAAATAAATTATATAATAAATAATTAAAGCGTGCCAAAAATTATATATAAATAATGAGGTACCAAATAAATTATATATAAATAAATAAAGTGGGCAAAAAATTATATATAAATAATGAGGTACCAAATAAATTATATATAAATAAATAAAGTGGGCAAAAATTATATATAAATAATGAGGTACCAAATAAATTATATATAAATAAAAAAAAGTGTGCCAAAATTATATATAAATAAAAAGTTTGCAAATAAATTATATATAAATAAAAAAAGTGTGCAAAAATTATTTATAAATAATAAGTTTGCAAATAAATTATATATAAATAAAAAAGTTTGCAAAAATTATATATATATAATAAGTTTGCAAATAAATTATTTATAAATAATAAGTTTGCAAATAAATTATATATAAATAAAAAAAGTGTGCAAAAATTATATATATATAATAAGTTTGCAAATAAATTATATATAAATAATTCTAGTTTGCCCAAAATTATATGTAAATAATTAGGTTGCAAAAAAAAATATATATAAATAATGCAGTGGCAAATAAATGTATTTACATATAATGCAAACTGCCAAACAATTATTTACATATAATTGTCCGGGAAACTGAATTATATAATAAATAATGAATTATATATAAATAATTTTGTTAAATAATTTATTTACACATGGCACCTCATAATTTGGTGGGGGAATTCTTTTGTATTTTTCAAAACTTGAATTATTGAGTGGTTTTTTTTTTGTTTCGGGGCGGGTAGGGTCTAGCCTAGAGGATATGGGAATACACGGGTGTTTATTGAAGGCGTGTCGAGGGCACGCCCTGCTTGGGGGTCCGACGGCTGCCCTGGGAAATTGTAAAATCTACGATGATTCCTCTTGCACTCTAAGGCAATTTGAGAATAAGCTTGGAACTTTTGCATCCCGATTATTATTAATTGGCCCCATTTAAATAGAATCACAACATTAATAGTCGGGGAGGGGATGCAAGTAAATGGGGACATAGCTCAGTGGCGCAGCAAAGATGAACGAAAGAAAGATGCTTATTTGTAGGGACATGAACAAAATAATTTCAAGGATTCTTAATGGTGAATTGAACTGATTTCAGCAAGGGACAAAAGTTGCAACGGAATCAAAATCGCTTGGAAAAAGTGGGTTCCGGTCCGGACCTAGTTCCCCCCGCGCTTATTAATGTCGCGCGAAACACCGTAGGTCTAGCAGTCTACGGAAGCCTACAGTGACCATCGGATTTTCCGCATTTCCTTGATTGCGGAAAGCTGAAATACTGGACATTTAAGAGTTCTTTCCCTTATACTCGTATCTCGGGTAGACGATTGTACCTGACACTGTACGAGTATCGAGGAAAGACGTCTTTCCATTGTGATATATCCAATAGGAAAGACTTTATAAAATATCCATTTTTGCGGATGGTCACTCTAAGCTCCCGTAGTCTACCGACTAAATCTCTTATCATATATAACAAAATTCAAGAGAATATATTCGACATGGAGAATATTCCAATTAATGCAGGTGCGATATATCTCACTTCATTCGTAGTCTTCCGACGTGTGTCGAGTAACATTATCTGCGGCGTGATCTGCATGAACATCATAATGATCCAAACAATTATTATTATAACGTCCGTTTTAAAAGGTGTAATTTGTGGGGTTTGTAAAAAAAAACCTCAATGTAATGACTTTCATTGGATTTGTCTATTGATTGTTTTTACGTGAGCGGATTTCCTTGGCGAGGGAAGTGGTGAATCCCACAATCTGTGACTTTCCACTCACAGTAGGTTTTACCCCCTCCGCATGAAAGTACATAGCATATTGTGTAGGATATTGTTGCAAGTTTATAAAAACAACTTTATGAACAGTTATGTCTATATTCAATAAAAAGATCACACAATTCAGTTGTCCACCGCTGATCATTTACCGTTGTACGAACTGATGGATACCCATTAAATACAATGACACATGGACGTTTTCCCACCTCCATCAGCGACACCACGAAGTAACACTCATGTACGCCTTCACTAAAAACTAGCAATCGGAAAAAACGGCATCTAAAGTTGAACGCCTTCTAAAACAACACTTTGCGTCGAAACTGCAAAGTATTTTCAGTTGGCCTTGTGGACACTTGGTGTATTGAATTTATTAAATCTGCTGTTTTTTCACCCGTTAGTATATAAAATCTTCAAGAAATAAGAGAAATAAGGTGAGTGTTAGTTCGTGAAACCGAAAAAGCTGCGAAACTATCAATTTTTGTTTTTCACGAAGTATATGTAGTACGCTTCAATGTAGGTGAGTGCTACTTCAGGTCAGCGCGCGCGCGCTCAAACAAGGAGAGTGTTACTTCGTAAAAACGTTTTTGTTCGCATTTGAGCAGAGTGCGCGCGATGCATTGGTAAAATAATGGAACTTGAGTGTTACTTCGTAAAAACGAAAATTGTCACTTTTGCACAAACGTTGCCATGGATAATTAGCGTAATTATTAAAGTAAAGCACTTGAAGCTTTGACTAACTTCGTGCAATGGAAGGCCTTGATAAATAATGTTTACAAATGTAAAAAATTGAAAATCGAAGAAAAAAAATGGTTTAACACGTGGAGTGTTACTTCGTGGGGTCGGTATTTATACCGGAGTCTTATTTAGATTTGAAAACCGTCCTGTGTGTATATCTGTAATTCTTACTCAGTTCAATACTTCATAATAGGTGCAGATCTGTAATAGGCCAAGAATTGCTTACAGGGCCAAATCACAATTTGTAGGCCTTCAAATTCTCAGGTATTAGAACATTTTGAGTGCCGTGAACTTGAGGTTTTGTAAACAGAAGGGTGGAAGCCGTGCAGAGGACTGTCAGCTCGTATTTCTGGGAAATTTGGATGAAATTAGGCCCAAAATGGCCAACTCTATTTTGCAATGGAGCGTAGGCGTCCATTTTCAAAGTGGCGATGGTCTTCAGGACTGCTTTTAGGGGTGATCATCTTTGGATGGAATTTTCTCCCAGATGTTATCAGTTTAAAACCCCCCCCCCCCCAAAAAAAAAATGAACAGAATATGAAAACGGATGAAATAAGCTTTAATTTGATGTGTGTCTCAAACACCTTGGAGAGTTGTGAGTGTTTTTAATATTTTTTAGAAGTATACGCCTAATTACCGTCGGGGTCTTATGGGAGTCGATTTGCAGGTCTGCACCCATATAAAAAAATAACACTTTTGCTTCGGGTCACGAGGATAGAGAAAAGTAGGCTAGGTCGGTCGACATAACATACTTTTGCTTAACTGTAGGGTTATGAACAAAATATTTCAAAAAATTCTTCGTGGTGTGTTAAACTGATTTCAGCAGGGGAAAAAAGTTGCAACGGAAACAAAATCGCTCGGAAAAAGTGGGGTCCGAACCTAGTCCTGTTTCTCCCGCGCTTTTTAATTTCGAGCGAAACACAGTAGGCCTAGCTGTCTACGGAAACCTATTAAAATGACCATCCGATTTTCCGCATTTCCTTGATTTCGGAAAGATAACATACTGGACATTTAAGACGTCTTTCCCTTGCCACCCCCCCCCCCCCCCATTCACCCTTGCGTACGGTATGAACTCCAGGATTCCTCAAGATTCCTGCCAGCTTGCCTTGCGCGGCATTGTCAAAACAAAAATCCAAAGTTATTTCACCATGGGATTCGTTGCTTAATGACACCAAATTTACCGCCAGACTCTCAGTGCTGAATGTGGTCAGGAGCTTTTTTTTCAGGTAATACAAATTTGCCGACAGACGATTTTGTCACACAAAAAGACATCCTCTTTCGGGGCGGGGTCGGGGTGGGGTGGGGTTGAGGGGTGAAGCGTCACACCCCTGTTCTACATACTGGACATTTAAGTACGAGTGTTGACGTGACTTCTGTGTTTTGATTTAGCCGTTCGTTGATAGCCGGCTGATACTCTTAATGCCGGGAACGACGAACGATTTTGTGATTTTTGTCACCAAAAAAAGATTTGGGGAAGGGGGCGGTGGAGGTGTGAAACCCCACATCAGTCTTCTAGCGATTCTCGCGTCTTGAGCCCTTGTTCTGTGTTTTGATTTAGTGGTTTGCTAGCCGGCTGAGACTCTTACTGCCGCGAATGAGTGACCGATAAAAAAAATCTGACTTCCTTCCGGATCCGCGACGGTCTGTCGATAAATTTGCTCCCCAACTCCCACTCTTAAATCAGTCTTGCTACGTCCATGTGTATATTGCCATGGGTTGTAAACTCTCGCACCACCTGGAACAAAACAAAATGTGAACGGACACCTGGATTCGAACCAGGGACCTTTCGATCTGCGGTCGAACGGTCAACCACCGAGCTATGTCCCCCATGCTACACCTGATTTAAACTAAGAAACATAAATACGCAACTGATGCCTCGCTATAAGTCCTGAATTTGGTGATAGTTGACTACAGGATTATGCAGGACGCTATTTGGTGGGGGATTCCTTTGTATTTTTTTCAAAACTTAAATTATTGAGTATTTTGATTTATGCTTCAGGTGCGGTTACGGGTCCAGCCTAGAGGAAACGGGGAATACACAGGGGATGGAGGTTAAGTGAAGGAGTGTCGAGGGCACGCCCTGCTTGTTGGAGGTCCGACGGCAGCCCAGGGAAAATTGTGAAATCTACGATGATTCCTCCTGCACTCTTAATTAGGCAATTTGCAAATAAATTTTGGAACTTTACCATCCCATTATTTAATTATTATTAAATTAATAACAGGTGACTTCACACCTCATTTTTCCTTCT